GAGAGGGGTGGGGGCGGGGGGGGTGGCTGGGGGGAGAGGAAGTCAAACTCCAGGAACATTGCTACTAGATAGTAATAATAAGGGGAAAAAAAAATTACAAATAAAAACATTTTCTTCCCTTTTATCAGTCCCAGATTAGATTTCAGAGCTAAAAACTTCTGTACGAGCAGAGTATCTCCTATCATTGGATACTTGCTGAGTGTGGACCTTAAAACAGACACCATCCAAGTCCAATTTTGTACAAAATTGAACCAGAAACAGTTTCAACTGCTACCATATTCAATGGTTTAAAAATCGCATTTCAATCTTTGCCCTGTCCTCTTTGGTTGTTTGAGATACATGTCCTAGGGAAACCTGACAGTTTTTGAGTATTTGGCGATGCTCTGAACCTGTGGAATACTGATGTTCTCTGCTCGCTTTAAACCCTCTCAGATATTACTAGTTGAAAAAAATGCAGACAAAAGTCTCTCCTCTTAGTTGATAGCCCATTAAAATCTGCAAAAATAAGTGTATATTGTGCTCCCTACCATTTCAGCATTCTCTCATTTGTTATGCCTGCCTCACTGTATGCAATTGGAAAGGTAATTCATTATTCTGTGAATTCTACAATACGTTAGACTAACAATGGCATATTTGCAGAGCTGAGTCAAACTTTCAACTTCCCTTGTAAAAGAGCCATATATTTATTTTCACTATTTGATTTAATAATGAAATCTCAAGCTGCCAGAGAAACTGCTATTTGATGATTATTAAAAATAATGTTAATGTTTATTATAATCATACATAAAAAACAAAACAGAAGGTAAAATTCCAGATGTTAACATTTATATTCATGGTTGCTATTCTGAAAGACCTGTACTGCATACTGATGGCTTCCTGCCCAGGAGATGTCATTTACAGGCAATTTTAAAGCAAAGGTTTTAGCCTTCAGAGAGGCTGGCGGAGAACATTCACTCTGTTTACTGGCATGGGGGTTCTTTCTGGCCTAAAATGAGAATATCTGGGAGTTATACCAGAAAGAAATGAAGTTACACCACAGCCTACAATGTTATTAAGGTTATTTAAGTTTTATTCTTTGATTTCCCCCCACCTTTGCATGACTAAAGGAGTACTGTTTGAGTGTAGACATTTCACTAAACAAAAGGAGGAAAGGAGTTACTGCTACTGAACCTTTGTTTTTCACTTATGGGCCTAAGGATCTGCACTGCCTGAAATTAGAGGCAGCAGCAGTCTAAAACTGAGACTAAAGAGAACAGTGGGGACTTCTTGAAGCATACAGTTGACCTTTACCTTTCTTTAAATCCAGCCCCAATCTTTCACTGGGCTTGCCTTCTTCAGCACATCTCATTAAATAACTCCTATCAACTCATTAAAAATGGCTCAGCTATTAGACATTATTTTTTTCCTAAAAGTCAATCATTTGAGATTTTTATGGAACAGATGGGAAAATTAAAAACAATCTGTCAGAATTAAGGAACAAGATCAAACTAAGCTGGAAAGGAGTAGCAGCAAGTTATTACAATTGTCTGCTTCTCACACCATCTTGAGATGAGAGGGTACAGAAATGGCACAAATCTGTAGAACTTTCTATTTAATTACTTCTAATTTTCTGAGAGACTGACAAACAATTTGGAACATAAATTTACATTTTTTAACAAACCACAACACACAAGGTCTAGTATTTCTTGTCAGAGTTGGAAAGTCATGGAGGAGAAAGTTCACCATTACACCTTCTTAGGAGGAGTGTGACATTACATATACCATTTGATATTTCTTATTCCACAAGGAACAATAGAACATGAAATATTTCCACAGGTCACTAGGTCTCTAACTTCTGAAAACCCATTTGCAGCTGCATTCAGGACAGTTGTTTCGGTATAATAGAAAGTTAGGACAAGACTGTTTAATTGATCTAGACTGGATGATCCCCTAAGCTACTGCTTTCAAAGGGTCTACTTATTGCTGCAACAATGCAAATATGTGGGTTCAGCTGTTTGGTCTGGCCTATAAAAAACTATTTATCTTCTGGCATTTTAAACCACCATACAAAGAATTCACTAAAAATTACTTTGAGATTATTATTTTTACAGATTATATCAAAAAGGACTACGACAAAAACAGAGTTCCAAATACATCTTTTGGTTGTATCATAGCATAGGCTATTACAAGGGTATTTGATGTTTCAATGCAATTCCCTTTAAAATATTACAACCAAACCTATTTTAGATTATTATACATGCATCTATAAGCTTTAAAGTGATAACTAAAGATTAAACATACAAAACAAAACCTCAAAACATTCACAATGACTTTTGGGAACATCTCTACAAATAAAAGATCTAGAAGATAAACAAAGCCTAAGATGTATGTTGGAGAAAAATCACAGAACCACTAGAACAGAAAAAAAAAGCCAAGTCAATCTTCCTAAAAAAAGCAGGAACCCTAGTCAAGAATTTATTCTGAAATGGACATCAAACTGCTGATGTAGCAACAGGCTTCATATGCCCATGTCCCAGAGAGGAGCACATGACCACTTTTTTGTTATTTTTTTTTACAAAGGAAAAGAATACTCAGAAGTAAAAGGATCATGATGGATCCAAACCTTGCCTCCACACCTTAAAAACAAGCTTTAACACATCTACACAAATAAAATGCTGTCTCATCTTAGACCTGACAATCTTTTCATTTTGGGTAGCAGATTATTACTTTTTACCATATTCCACAGTTGTACCTCTTTGCTGGCTATTCCTCCAGCAGCTGACACAGGAAAACTGCTGGTGTTAAAGGAGAGGTCACCAATACAAATGCGATGTCATCGAGCCATAGCCCTGCAGCCAGGATGCAACAAGCACATGGCACAACTGCTGCACACAGGTATCATATTCGGTACCTGCCACTGCCAGTGGGCTTGCTGCCTCTGCAGGCAAGAGGTGGCTGAGAAGAAAACTCTTCAAACTGTGCTCTATGTGTCATTTCAGAACTATTAATTTGTTTCTGTGAGGCACAGATCAACTCAGACCAATGAAGGAGACTTGGCTCCTCCACACTGTATGTGTTGGTGGCTGCTTTAGGGACCACAACCAAACAGCAATGTAACATATTAAATGATGATACAGGTTTGAGCAGTGCCTTCCAAAGCTGATGAAGATCACAGGCCTGCTCAGCCTTCAGCAAACCCCTTCTTGGCTTCCCCCTGCACTAGTTCCCACTCACTTTATACATAAAATAAATTACTACTCTAATTACAGGAGACATTTTCCCAAAGAAAGCATGCATGTAAACAGGTTACTGCGCAGTAATGTAGAATACTGCTCCTTCTATAAATACAGGGACAATTAGGGTAGCCTTAAAATATTTTAAGACAGACATGTGCCTAAAATGTCAGCAAGATGTATCTACAAAGATGAGCTAATCTGTACTTGAGCTTTTGTTGTACTCAAGTTTGCAGTTAAAAGTGTGCCTGGTTTTGGTGTCTACCACAATGTTTTCTTAAAGGGATTTCAACTATTCAGTCAAGGATCTCACGTACCACTTAACCATCTAAACTTCAAAGAAAACCCTGACTGAAATAGGTATTAGGATTCTCTAATGGATACTTGGCTTCCCCAAAATGTCTAAATCAATGTGCAGAAATTACATACAACTGACCCATGGACTTCTGCAACACAGGGGTACAGAACCTTAACTCCTCCTCCACCTTTAAGACTCTCATTGAAAGAGAAGATATCCACCTGAATATAACCTTTACAGTTGAAAACACCTCTTGTAAGAGTTTAGAAAATGACTCTGTTGTGTTCCATTGGCCTAGAAAACTATTTCAACATTTTTTCCTTCCCTCAACATAGTACAGCTCTGTATTTATTGAAATTAGGGTAACTGATGCTTTATTACATTCCACCACAGCAGACATTTACATAGAAATACCACTACAACTTCACACATTCAAACCTGAGAAAGGAAGATTGTGTTTCTAAGAGCAATGTATAAACCTCAGTATTTGACCACACCAGCTATGAGGTAGGGAACAGATGAAAACTGACATCCTGTTAAAAATGTTCACACACATATGGATGGATGCAAAAGTTAATTCTTCTTTTCTTTGACTAAGTTATAAGAACACGTACTTCTGGAGTTGCAATACTTGAAAGAAGGTTTTTAGGGGGTGGGGGATTAGGGCTTTTTTGTTTTGTTTTGTTTTCTTTTTGTTGCTGGGGTTTTTTTAAGGTAGAAACGTAATTTGAATTTGTAGTCATCAGTTTGGTAATTAATCTGCTGATATGTCAGGTGTTGACCTGGGCTACCGTTAATCCACAAGCAACTGCTAACGCTTACTAATGGCTTTTCATGAGACAAACTGTTGAAATCCTTTAATAAATAAAGATTGACTCAGCATTTCATTATTCTTAGATGTGCCCTTAATGCATACTTTACAAGGGTGAATTTGCAAAACTAAAAAATAATTCTATTTAAAAAAATGCAGTATAGTAATAGCAAAGAAAAGGACCAGATTCTCATGTGTTTCTGTGAATGTAATAGAGTCTCAAGGCTTGAGATGAGGATTTCTAATGATAATCTTGTACTAATACTATAGTATGCTAAGTAGTTGATGAGGTAATATGGGCAAAGAAACTGACCTTTCTTTAATCACTGTAAGAGCTATTCAGGATCTCCTTGTGTCTAGCATGGGCATGCATGTGTCACACACA